TCTGGGTGGAATCTACACACATATAAAAACAGTTCTGAAAATGCTTTTTTAAACAGCATTTTTAAAAATACATTGAGTTTTCCATAAGGCTCACCATCACCATCCAATGTCACATTGTATATTGCACTTAAAACATTTTATTTGCAGCTGTATAGCTTAGTCCCTTGTTTAATAAACTCCCCACACAGGATTGTTGTTTAGTCGTGTCCGACTCTTCATGACCCCATGGACCAGAGCACACCAGGCACTCCTGTCTTCCACTGCCTCCCGCAGTTTGGTCAGACTCATGTTTGTAGCTTCGAGAACACTGTCCAACCATCTTGTCCTCTTGTCGTCCCCTTCTCCTTGTGCCCTCCATCTTTCCCAACATCAGGGTCTTTTCCAGGGAGTCTTCTCTTCTCATGAGGTGGCCAAAGTATTGGAGCCTCAGCTTCCCACACAGGATAGGAGTTGTAATTAGCTTTCCCGGGGATTTTTTTTTATAATGTTCTGTTGATTTGGTAAATGTTTATCTGTTAAATATTATTGCCATTTTAGCTTTGATTGTTTCATTATAGCTGCATCTCTCCCATGAAGCTAAAAAGGCCAAGGTGGCCTTCTTTCAACTGCTGTTGAGCTAATTCAGTTCAGTTGAGAGGCTAAGTTAAAGATAAACTCTTGTGATACTGCTCCTGGAGTTTGCTTGCCATGTTCCACATTTGGAATGGTTCAAAAGGGAGAAAGTATGCCTTTGAATGCTGAGAACTAAGAGAGCAGAGGGATGATCTATTGCTGCTTCCTAAAGGCTTCTGGCTGACCAGTGCCATAAACAGAAAGTAGAAAAGTTGGACCTTTGGTTTGCTTCAGCAAGTCTTGTTCCCAGTGAAAACCAGACAGATTCTTTCTGATGTTCATGCATTGCGTTTGCTCAGTAATGCACGGCGCACTTATTCTGTTAAGGTTTTGTAGTGGAAGTGAATGCTTCATAATCATTCCTCTTAACGGCAAACTCGGTTGGTGAGTGCCACCAGGATTATAGTCCAACCAGCTATAGTGAGAAACGTGGTGGAGCTTCATGCTCCAGCACCGGGGGGGGGGGGCTGGCGCGCATTCGGGGGGGTGTGGCGTGCCACCTGCAGGGGCATGGTGCGTGTTCTGGGGGCGTGGTGTGCCGCCTGTGGGGGGTGGTGCCCAGTGTGGGCGGGGGGGGGCAGCTGCGATGGCACCCCATCAGGATCATGCTGCTGGGGGCGGTGCGCTCCCCCCCGCACTTCTCTTCCTCCGCCAGTGGTGAGAAACAGCAGGGAGGTATCAGCCAGATTTTGCAGGAGTTAGATTTTTTTTAAAAAACCATTTAAGGGAGAAAAGAAATGCCAATGGGGGTTGGGCAAACTCAATATTCACAGAATATAGAATGACAGAAGGAAATGTCAAATTGAAAGAGGAAAGAATGTCCTTCTTGGAAGGAATGGCTTGCAGAAACCCTGAGCCAGAAGTATTTATCCAAGAGAGGATACACTGCAACATTTTGTTGTAGGCCTCCACTTATGATACACTGTATTTACGTTGCACTTTCTCACAGTGAAATGCTTTGTATGCATTAGTGCTTCAGTCTTTATAATAGCCCTGCAAAGCATACTGGTTCTGCTATCTCCATATTACAGGCAGGTGGGGGTAGGGAGTTGAGAGGTTGTGAATCACCTAACAGAACATTCCTGAAACAAATAGCTCTAGATGTGGTGATTAGAAAAAAAAACATGCTACCAAAAGATTTTCAAATTTTGCCCCCAAAGAAAACTAGTTTTGAAGCATGATCGGTATAGTATATGCTGTTTTTTAAAAGCACCTTTTGTCTGAGAGACCACTCAACAAATTCCCGGTTGGGGCTGTGATTTGTTCACAGCCTGTTCTCCAAACCACCACACTAGGCAGTATAGCTGTGGTTTGTGGCTACTGAGCAGCTAACAGCTCATGTGGAAAACACTCTGCTGGAAAAAAATATATGCATTGATCATTATTAATTGTATTTGTATCCTGCCTTCCTCTGTGGAGCTCATGGATTACTATTTTTCCTCCCTGTAATCATCAGAATAACCCTGTGGGGTAGGTTTTGCTGACAGGTTGTGGATCAGGAAATGTTATGGCAGAGTAGGCGATCTGAACACAGATATCTCTGTCCTACCCCCCAAGCTTGTGCCCTCCATATGTTGTTGGACTCCCAAGTCCCATCAGTTCCAGCCTGGTCACGAATGATGGGCGGAACATTGTAGTCTACCAACAACTGGAAGGCACCAGGTTGGGAAGGTCTGTTTAACCCAGGGGTCAGCAATCTTTTCCAGCCGTGGGCCGGTCCACCGTCCCTCAGAGCATGTGGTGGGCCAGACCATATTTTGAAAAAAATAATGAACGAATTCCTATGCCCCATAAATAACCCAGAGGTGCAATTTAAATAAAAGCACACATTCTACTCATGTAAAAACACGCTGATTCCCGGACCGTCTGAGGGCCAGATTGAGTAGGCGATTGGGCCGCATCCGGCCCCCGGGCCTAAGGTTGCCTACTCCCGGTTTAACCCCTATGCCACACTGCCCCCTCCATTGGAGCATACGAAACCGAGGCACAAGTAGGTAAAAAATCTGGACACTACCAGAGGTGCTGAGATGCAAGATGTTGGAGTTGGTGGGGGGGCTTTTTGGTCTCAGGCATTCCACTCCAGAGACAGCACTCTTGTCTCCTAAGGGCAAACGGAGCCATCTACGCATGAGGCGGCACCTTTTCTTGAAAGGGCAGCTCTGGGAGAAAATGCTTAGATAATCGAGCCATTGTTTGTTGGGCTGCCTCTCCCTGAGACTGCTAGTTGTTGTCTAAATTCCTGGGAAAGGCAGTCAGGAGAGAAGGCCACCCTCTTACTGGGGAAGAGTTCATCTGAGGATGGATTTGCTCAGAGCCTTTGGCCCCCCGGGGGTGGGCAGGCATCAGGCTTGCAGGATCTATTTTGTCCACCAATGAACCTGGTGTGGGAGACATACATCTGGGGGGGGGGGACGGGACACACGCGCTGAACCCAGGAACTAGTTTTTGAGTTACAAGCCTAAACATAGCTCACCCCACCGAAATTGAATCCTGCCTTCCACATGCTTCCTTAATTTCAGCAGTATAATTTAGAGTGGTGTCGTCTTGTTGTTACTATTATTAAAAAAAATGGTGGATGGCAAATCTGCGGCAAATCATCCAGAGATGTTAGCGGTAGGTTTAAATCTACCTTTGCTCAAGACCAAGGGCAGGGAACCTTTGGCCCTCCAGATTATTTGAGAATATTTATTTCACATATTTATTCCATCATTCTTCCAAGGGACTCGAGATGGCATACATAGTTCACCACCACAACAACCCTGTGATGTAGGTCAGGCTGAGAGCTGGTAACTGACCTGAGGTCACCCAGTGGGCTTCATATGGATGAGTGCAAATTGGAACCCTGGTCTCCCAAGTCTTGAGTCCAACCTGCACCACACTCTCCACTCTACACACGGTGGCCAACAATGGTGGATGCTGTAGTTCACCAGCATCTTGAGGGCTGGGGGGTTCCCACCACTACTCTAGACTGCTGTTGTAGATCTGGAATTGGCCAGGAGAGTGAATATTTGTCCATACCTATACAGATGGATGAAAATAGAACCAGACTGATCCACTTTCATGCTAAGAGGCATCAGTGCAGGCTGGGCCCCTGGGCAGGTGGGGCACAGTCCCACCAACCTGCCTGCTAGTTGGAGTAGGCTAGATGGACTGATAACAGGGCCCACTGATGAGTTTGGCTCAGTATGTGTTCAAAAAAGCAGAATCATAGAATTGTAGCACTGGAAGGGAACCCAGGGGTCATCTAGTCCAACCTCCTGCAATGCTGGAACCTTTTTGCCCAATGTGGGAACCCATGACCTTGAGAATGAGAGTCTCATGCTCTACAACTACTGACTGAGCCATCTTAAAAGATAATGCATCTTCATGCTAGTCAAGCTGCCTTTTCTCTGCCTAGTCTAGCATACCTTCCTAATCAAGGAAGATTGTACATTATGCTTGCAGAATCAAAGAATCATAGAATTGTCAAGTTGGAAGGGACCCCAATGGTCATCTAGTCCAGCCCCCTTGTGACCAGCTTAATAGTGGGATTACAAAACATAGCTAGTTTAGGCTGGTTTAAGCCTTCCTCAACTACCTGCCTTCTAGGTATTTTTAGACTACAACTCCCATCATCCCTGATCTATGGCCATGCTGGCTGCAGCTGTTGGGAGTTGTAGTCCAAAACCTGATTGAGGAAGACTGTACCAGACTTAAGTTCTGACCATGGTTGCGTGCTGTATAAGTGCTCTTTCTCTTCTGTAGGACTCACAATAATGTAAAATATATAAGGAAGAACTTCTGGAAGCAAGGGCCAAACTGAACATGACCGCTGTGGGCAGAATTTGGCCAGTGTGTATAAGGCAATAAGTTGGCTGAGAAATGTATGGCTATAGTGGGGTAGCCCAATCTACTTCTCCCCACAAAGCTTTTTCTCTTAGCGGGGATCTATGACCTGATGGAACCCCTTTCTAGCAAACCATGGTTTGTCACTTTGCACTGTAAACAAATCTTTGATTCCGGCCTGCAAGCCTTGTTTTCCTAAGCAAACACAAAACAATAGATTATCAGTTTGGCAACATATGGTTTGCTAGAAACTGGGAAGGGGAGGAAGGAATGACAATATAGCAGATGGAAAGCAGAAACCCAAGGCATCTTATGGGCTCAAACTTAGCAGCGCCAAACTAGGGTTTAGTGTTGCATCCATTTGACTTGCAGCACAGACAAAAGAAGGGAGTGCAGTCCTCAAAAGTGGACAAAAAAAGAGGAACTTGCAACTTCAAGTAGTGGCAAGAAGTAAATTTCTGAAAATAAATGCACTTTCCTGTATTGAAAGATGTTTGCAAAGATCCAGTGATCCAGTGTGTGTGGAGTCTATTTTCACTACACAGGCTAATCTCTCGAACACAGCAGCTGGGACAGCTCAGTCATTAGAGCATAAAATTCTTAATTTCAGGGTTGTGGCTTCGAGTCCCACCTTGCGCGAAAAATTCCTGCATTGCAGGGGGTTGGACTAGATGACCCACGGGGTCCCATTCAACTGTACAATTCTGTAATTCTACAAAATGCAAAGCAGATAATGCCTCTGGGAATGTACAGAGTGCTTTTCTTTGACCACTGAGTGAGAATTTCCACCTCACCCTTCTTTCATCTGGGTTTTGGGCTCAGGGCTTCAAGCTCATTGTATGGGAACCTTGATCCCCAGAAGCTCTCCTTTCAAAAATGAACTTGTTTTTACATTCTGTATATGCTACAAAGGGACGTGGGTGGCGCTGTGGTCTAAACCACAGAGCCTAGGGCTTGCCGATTGGAAGGTCGGCGGTTCAAATCCCCGCGAGGGGGTGAGCTCCTGTTGCTCGGTCCCAGCTCCTGCCCACCTAGCAGTTCGAAAGCACGTCAAAGTGCAAGTAGATAAATAGGTACCGCTCCGGCGGGAAGGTAAACGGTGTTTCCGTGTGCTGCTCTGGTTCGCCAGAAGCGGCTTAGTCATGCTGGCCACATGACCCGGAAGCTGTACACCGGCTCCCTCGGCCAGTAAAGCGAGATGAGCGCCACAACCCCAGAGTTGGACATGACTGGACCTAACGGTCAGGGGTCCCTTTACCTTTTTATATGGTACAAAACACTGCTGGTGTTTGAAGGCAAAAGTGGTAAGATTTGGCTCTGCCATGTTGCATGCTCTGTTGGCTGCAGAAAGCTTTTGGGTGTGCATTCCCAACACATACCCCTTCCTTTGGGAATAAGTGATAGTAAAGTGGTTTTGGAGACAACTGCCAAAGGATATATAACATGCCCCTTTCGGGTGAGTAGCCCATCAGGCTTGTAAAACAAGCAAGGAGCCTGAGCTTAATCAGGAAAGTCTTCTGTGATGGTAAAACCCATGTCATTTCCTTCCCTAAATGGTCCGATCAAAGGTATGCAGCCATTAGTCACACCTGGTGTGTGTGGGGGGGGGGCAGTGATTATAGATTGTTCCCGGACAAAGTCTATCTTGCTCATTTGATATTAGCTGACCACTCAAAGGCAGCAGCTCCTTTTCAGATCCCAAAGGCACCTATAATTCCAAGCTGCTATATGGGGTCCATTTTTAACCCATTCCTTACCATCTCTCTTGAGAGTGAGTAGATGGACATCAGAAAATGACTTCGTACATAGGAGATGTGATTTTTGCAGATACAGCTTGCCAGGCAAGGGTTAAAAAGTTGCAGCGTAAAAAAGGGGAGGGCAGTGCTGCCACCAGGGCAGGACTATGGGGCAGAGTTCAGGCCCCACAACTGCAGCAGGGCTGGCTTACCCTGTTTTTAAATAAGTGATGTAACACACACAGACTGCCATCTAAAGCAACTCCTGCTCTAACAGAATGAAGTCCACAGTATGACTTCACACCATACATTTAAAAGATTCCCCAAAGAATCTTAAAACTTTAGTTTGTTGGGGTGCTGGGAATTGCATCTCTGAGAGGGGTAAGGTACAGTTTCCAGAATTCTCTGGGCGGGAGAGGGATGTGCTTTAAGCACATGGTGTGGATGTGACCTAAAATTACCCACCTGTATTTTTTTTTTAGTCCAACAGAGATAGTGGAGCAATCAAGTGAAACCATAATGACAATGTGTGATTGACAGGTGGTTGTCCTGCCCACTAACAATACGTTGTAGAGGCTGTTGGTGTTCCGTGAGAACCCTTTATATTCTGTTCTGGTAAACAGAGGCGATATATTGTAATTTTGGTGGAGCATCTGCTTTGAATGCAGAAAGTGCCAGGTTCCATCCCTGGCCTCTCCAGGCAGCGCTGGGAAAAGACTGTAGGTCTGAAATCCTGGAGAGCCAATGCCAGCTTGTGTAGGCTTTACTGAGTTAGATGGGCCCAGTGGTATGACTCATGAGCAGGGAGCTTCTTATGCTCCAACACAGAAGCATCCTCGAACCTTTGCTCCTTTTCACTCTGACTGCTGCCTCTAGGCTATTGGGAACTCGGCATCCCACATGATCTTCATCTTGTCCACGCATGCTAGGTGCTGCAAGAGATATGGCAGGAAAACTGTGATTTGCACTAGGAATGTTTGGGAGTTTCCTGAGGAGAACAGTGGAGCCCTGATGGCAGCATCCAGCACCACTGCAGTCTCTCCTGTTGCTGGAAGCTGTGCTGTGGCCCTGAGTACCACAAGGAGGTCTGTCCTCTTGACAGATCTCCTCTCATCAAGCTTGGACAACAGCAGGGCTGTGGCTAATTCCCATGCTTGAGAAGTCTTTGAGATGGTAGGCTGTGTACAGTCATGAAGGACTTCAGCTCCGTGGTAGATACTGTGTAGTCTATACTGAGCTTGATGCACCAATGAAGCCCATTCAGTTTAAGGCTGCTTCCTATGTTTACAAGGTGAGGGTGTAAACCCCAGTCATCTTCTGCTGTCATGCCATGGGCCTCCTTGAGGAGACTTCTGTCTGGAGAACAATGACAGCTCTTCTTCTGTATTGGTTTTGTCATTGGTTGGATTGCCCCAAAAATCTAAGAAAAGAGGTCGTATTATTTCTCGCCCAGTCTATGGATGGGGGCAGGAGGAGAAGGACTGGCCTTTGCCTTTAGGAAGGAGGATAGATGTATTTGTGTTTTAGGTTTAAAGGAGTTGGGATTTGGTTGTCTCCAATTTTGGGGACCCAACATTGAAAAAGCATCTGTTTTGTGTGCTGGAACTGTTTTAAATCCACATTAATAAATGAAGCCCACTGGGTAGTCTCTCAGCCTAACCTACCTCCCAAGGTTGTTGAGAGGATTATGGTGCAGGAGAGATGAGGAGAACAAGGAATCCTGCTTTTTGAGCTCCTTTGAGGAACAATGGGATCTCAATGTAATAATCATTCTGTTGATTGGTGGAATTCAAAACCTTTCACTTAGAAACTGATCGTTTTAAGAAAGCCACTCCTGTTTTGTGTGCACGCTTCTATTGCTATCTCTTGTTGATTTTAAGGCAGTAGAGCAATCAAAATATTATCTCCCACCTGCTTTCTGAAGCAGTGTGGCTCATTGTAGCACCTCCTCCTTTCTTGCTCAATGTCCAGGTTAAATAGGGGTGTTTAGTTACAGAGATTGTCAGTCAAGAATTTGAAAAGCAGATTATATGTTCTGATGGAGCACTGCCAGTGTGGACGAAGGTTTTCCATTCAAAGTTTTGGTCCATGCCGATCAGATGTCCGCGCTGTGTCTTACATCACAAGGAAGCCCGTAAGAGTTATTAACCTGCAAAACATTTTTATTAGCCTGCTAGAGACTTGCAGGAGAGGGAAGGAGAGAGAAAGAGAGCCCTGTCTCTCCTGGAGCAGCATGCTACTGCATTTCTATCCTGGGTGCAGAGGAGGGATGGAATCCTTTGCTTAGTCCTGCCTCCACTATCCTGCTCATTCATAGAATCATACAGTTGGAAGGGACCCCAAGCGTCATCAAGTCCAACCCCCAGCAATGCAGGAGTCCCAACTCATCTTTCAATATGGTCACCCCCACATTCATTTTCAGTGTCTGATTTCTTGCCTATAGCTACCACACTAGTGCTCAGATAGAAAGCTGATCTAAAGTAGGTTTGGATATCATTACCTGCACTGAGTAAGACTCTCCTTCAGCATTCACCCAGGGACTTTTTGGGATTGGGGTTCTATTTCAGGTTGCCACACGTGGCTAACCCTAAGTGTATATGCACAGGTGGGTTAATCCATTTTAAAGGTTTTTTGTTTTGTTTTCATAGACTAGTAGCTTCTGTAGACATATTTGCAGGACTGCTCTTGCCTACTGTAGAATTGGTCTTGTATCCTTAGTCCAGGGGTCAGCAACCTTTTTCAGCTGTGGGCCGGTCCACTGTCCCTCAAATAAACCAGAGATGCATTTTAAATAAAAAGACACATTCTACTCATGTAAAAACATACTGATTCCCGGACCATCTGTGGGCCAGATTGAGAAGGCGATTGGGCCGCATCCAGTCCCCAGGCCTTAGGTTGCCTACACCTGCCTTAGTCCTTTGGATAGATCCAGTGCAGGGACACCTGGATTCAAGTTTCACCTGCGCCTTGGGTAGCCTTGGACAATCCAACTTATCAGAGGAAAGCAGAATTCTGTCACCTGTGTGGATGACGCAAATTAAGCACCACATCCAATGTGGTGTATCTCACAGGGTTGATGGGAGGAGGATAAAGTGGTTGTGAAAGAGGCTCATGTGTTTAAAAGGTAAAGGTAAAGGGACCCCTGACCATTAGGTCCAGTCGTGACCGACTCTGAGGTTGCGGCGCTCATCTCGCTTTATTGGCCGAGGGAGCCGGCGTACAGCTTCCGGGTCATGTGGCCAGCATGACTAAGCCACTTCTGGCGAGCCAGAGCAGCGCACGAAAACGCCGTTTACCTTCCCGCCGGAGCGGTACCTATTTATCTACTTGCACTTTGACGTGCTTTTGAACTGCTAGGTTGGCAGGAGCAGGGACCAAGCAACGGGAGCTCACCCCATCGTGGGGATTCGAACCGCCGACCTTCTGATCGGCAAGTCCTAGGCTCTGTGGTTTAACCCACAGTGCCACCCACGTCCCTTATGCTCATGTGTTTACACAGAACTAAATCCCACCATATTCAGTGGGGCTAACTCAGAAATAAGTGTGCGATAGGGATATAGTATCGAGCATAATTTATTCTGGTTCATCAGTGCTCTGCAAATCTCTCTATCCTCTCACTAGTAATCCTGCTCCGCTCCCTGCTCCAATGTTTGGTTTCACCATTTTGAACCTGCCATTGCAGCCTTAAGGACTAGAAGCTTGGGTGTTATCTCTTTTTATAAAAAGCAGGAGAAGAAATGAAAAATGAGCTTTCAGGGTTCACTGCACTGTGCCCAGATTCAAATCATGCATTTATTTATTTAACTGTATTTATGGATCTCTTCCTAGAAAACCTTTCAATTTAACAATAAACACATCTGAAAACAATGATGCAACAATTTTCACATATGAAAATCTTTGCAA